CTTACAGTCCTAATCCTGATCGAAAGCCTTTTTCCTTATTATGTACCTCCATAAATAGTGCATGGCACTGGCTATTGACTGTCAGAAGCCATGTGTCAAATTGTCAGACACTAAAACATCCTCTGCTTTGTCCTCAATGTGGAGTTATGGGTTTGTTTGAGCATCAGTTGTCATATGCTGAATTTTGGTTATTTGTTTAATTTACCTATTTTAAGGTAATTCCACAGACTTCTAATCAGCTTTGATGTAAAATTCTTTTTTTTTTCCAAGATTTTCTGTTTCTCACACTGCGTATAAGAACTTTTTACATTCCAAGATGTTGTCATCAAGATTTTTCTTTATCAAATTAAATGGCTTTTTACCAATTTATTCTATTTTTGGTTACTAGGAGTCATATATTTTTGTTGCTGTGCTACGTATTCACTTTTGAGTTAAGGATCTTTAAATATTGAAGATATATATGTGATATTTTTCGAGAGCAAAATTATACAGTAAATTACCTAATGTCCACTGTGATATGTCTTAAGTAGGACCTTACAAAATGACTTGTACTTATGTAAGATACAGGGGCTACAGCATATTTATTAAGACTCTTCAACTCTGTATGAAACTGGAGCAGGCAGAAGTAATGGTGTCTGTTGAAAGATTCTTTATCATGTGAATTTACTTTTAGTCATCTATTATTTATTTCAGCTATTTTATATGCCATTATAATAAATATTATGACAGAGAAAGCTTTTATGCTTCAACTTATTGTACTGCTCTTCACTTCCTTGCAATCCTTCAGGAAAATGTAGCTATGCTTTACCTATATTTAACGTAAATCATCACTTACATTTGAATGAAAAATTCACTATGAAAAAAGGCTCCTTCTTCAATATCAAGACACAAATGCACAATCATGTTTACTGCCCAGCCACTCTACCATGCAGTGTTCATTTTTAAACAGTTTTTAAGCTGTAAAGTGAATACATTGCATATAGTGAAATTGCTTGTTTTCTGGGTGTTTTCACTTTCTTTTTAGTTTCTGGCTCAATAAGCATTTTTCTAGCATGAGTGCAAAATAGAACCAACGGCACTTAAGCAGTTTTAATATTTTGCTAGGATAGGGAGCAGCTTACAGACAAACCTAAACCAACTGTTTTCTGCTGTTATTTAGAGTCATGAACCTTACCTGAAAATATTGATAAAATGCTTTTAGAAATGGGCATAAAATAAGGAAATAAAGTTGGTTTTTTTTCTGTGCACTTTTCAAAATGTTATTGTGTTATGTTTAAAAAAGGACTTGTTGGGAACCAGCGAATGATTTGCCTTCAGCTGTTTCCTCAAAGACAGGGTGTTGGTGCCTAGACGTTGTTAGACTTGAACTACTCTGTGGGCTTCAGGACATGAATGCTCCCCATCCTGAAAGCACTGTTTCAGCTGGTTCCAGCTGACCTTGTTTTCACAGAGAAAGTAGAAGCAGAAGCTTATGTGCCTCTTGTGTCTGTTCTCCTTTTGGGCAGTTTGCAAAGCTGGTCTGAGTCTAGTTGTGAAAGGGATTGTGGGCAGAGTTGGGGCGTTTGTCCCTGGGATCTGCAGCGAGGGCACCAGCTCATTTTGCACAGGCTCTCAACAGCGCCATGTAGTAATGATCCTGATCCTGGGATTTAGAAGGGAGCTCTTTAAATTATTCTATACTCATTCTGTCGTTTAGGCTCCCTTTAAATGATGTAATTGAAAATAAAGTAGTAGAGGGAGCATTAATATCTTAATTTCATTTTAAAATTTCTGGAGTTTTCTGCCTTAGTGTGTTGATTTTACGATGTCAGTTTTAAGACTGTCTTCTGTATTTGGGAAAGTGACAAGACCCATTTAAGATTTCACAACATAAAACGAGGCATAATTCAGTGCTGAAAATACGTGCAGTGAAATGGTGAGAGACATCAGCATAATACAATTATGACACATCAGATCAGGATTTGCAGCATGCCATTAACGATCAGTTCTGACTATGGATTACAATTACAGTTACAATGCCTTTTAGCAAAAATGAGGTTTAGTTTTATTTTTTTATTCAAACCCCATGTTTTCTCTTTCTATAAATACCACAGTATGTGCTACCTAGGCTTATAGTGAAAGAATGAAAACTACAACAAAGGTAATGATGAGCTACTGCAAGAAAAGAAACAAAAAAACTTCTGTCATTGACTGGAGATATTCTTACGTTATTAAGAACACACCTTGCAAGTGGATTGACTTACTCATAGCTTTCTAAAAGAAATTGTGACACAGAATTGAGAGTGGGAAAACATTGAACAAAAATTATTTGATTCTAAAGGCTTAGCATTTCACATTCTCAAACTGTAGTAGGAATTGACAGTCTACAAACTTTCATTGTGGAGTGAGAGGTGCTTGAATCTCAGTTGACAAGGGAGAACGTAAAACAGGAAAGTTGGGGAAGTTGCAGAAGCTCATGGTATGGAAACTGATTCCTTCCCAGTAACTGTTTGGAGAAAATACACTTGGCTCTTTGCATGCCTTCAGATGTTGAGCTGGCAAATTCTGATCTGAGTGCTTTGGATGTCATGTTCCAGTTTCTCCTATGAGGAGAAAAGAGCAAATGGATATCTCTGTGCTCCATATGTACCTTCTGTATGTAAGAAGGAAATACAGACTGTTACCATCAGATTTTTAAAAAGCAAAAGCAAGGAGAACAATGAAAAAAAATCATTTTGCCAGTTGGCTTTCTTGACCTATTCAACAAGAAAAATTAATGAAACCATCCTTTATTTCCTTCTCCATTTTTCCTTTTTCAGATCATTTTAGATACATTTTCCTGAATGTCTTAATATTTTCTTTGCCTTCTTCTGTCACTGTATGTGTATCAAAGCTAAAAGGAAAAAGGTGAAGTAGTGCTAAATTGTTTGAAATATGTTATCTTACTGGCTGAAGAAAATGTATGAATAGAAAGGTAGTCTCAGTTCACTGATGGGACTGGTACAGAAAAAACACAACTATAGGTTGCATTTGCTAAGTCAACTGTTTAGCACTTAGAATAATTTATTTATTAATTTTTAAACTTTTTTTTTTTTGCATTTCAGTATATTAATCCACAAATCCAGCCCAATCTTAGTCTATTTAATTTATATTTCTGGATAATTGTTTTAGAGGCATCATACATTTTTGTTTTGGACCCGAAATAGACAGACACCTTCCTTGTGTTTGTGGAATCAGTAGCAGAAGACTAACACGTGACACCAAGAGGAGAAGTTTTACCTTAGTAGTATCATGTGGACTTGAATATGTGCCCCAAAGAGGACGGTACCAAACAACTTGTATAGTCTGTTGAACTACTTGATTATTATTTTTTGGGACCCCCATTAATTTCCTGTATTTGTAACGTTCTTGTCCTTTTACCCTTGGGAGTATGTTTCAACTGAGGAAAGCAGAAGCAAAATAAACCTAACTACGCACACTAGACTGTTAAGTAAACAGCTTTGAACTGCACAGTTGAAGAGAAGATTTGGAGCTCTATTGCATAATACAAGGCAGCAAGTCTTTCTCAAGTCTCTGACCATCAAATAGAAGAAAATATTTACCCTGTAGGGCAAAAGGAATTCCAGAATGATGTGCACCTTGTGAAGGGAAAAAAAAACCTCTTTGTAACAAAGTTTGGTTTAGCATTTTCAGACTTCATCCATTGATACATCCTTTGGGAACTGAACCTGTTGAATTTTTGGTTGTATTTACATTGCTGTTCTGATAAATCTGGCTGGAGTGGGACAAAAGGAATTTGAGTGACTTTCTGTTTAAACCCAACCTGTAAGGTAATTATAATGGGAAATATGGGTGCAAGCAAAATAGAAAACAGATGTAGGGAGGAAAGTACCACGTGCAATGAAACACTGAGATGAATTGCTTGAACTTGGGAGACAATGGGAGCACTCTTCTTGGTTCCCCTTCTGCACTGACATGCATGCTACTTCCTTTTTGTTCCTCCAGAAATGCTTATTGTCTGTCCTTGTAATCAGCAGATTCCCCATCGCACTATGGTGCTAACAAATAGCACTCTCCACTCCAGTGTTGCCTTTCATTTCGTAGTACCACTCTATCTGCTCCATCTCTTCCCTAGTCTTTCTTTCAGCAGTGCTCATGTCCACTCCCAGCCATGACCATCATGCATAGGTGTAGGGAGTGTGTTGGAATTTAAAACCACAGTCCACTTGATTCCGTGATGACTTTCACTTCAGTGGTTGCAGTGAAAATAGACTTTTGGTTCATTTTGATCTGAGATTTGGAGTATAAGCATCTCAAAACATCTGACAAGAGGGATCTTAAAACTGAAAATTTTGAGAAGACTTGTTCTGATGGTGCCTAAAGTAGGAATCTACAGGTTAACCCATCATTTTGTGGACTGCATGCCCTTTTTTAGGTGAAAAGTTGGTTTTAACAACATACCACATTTCTTTAGATGTTATGCCCTGCTAAACTTTTATTGTATGGAAACTTCATGGTCTGATGAGGTGTTTTCTATACTTATACTGTCTTTTATATCACCTGTTATGAGAGATAAATTTTTTTGGATTAATATCTGCAAGTTTGAATTTAGCTGATTTTTACAAACTGAGTATTTTTCTGTTGGTAAAATATGTAGAAAATACCATGCATTAAGAACAATGCTTCCTCTATGTTTTATTTCATGCATTACATAAGTTTCACCAGCAAAATGGCAGAAAAAAGATACAGTATTAACCTTAACACTACCTTGTGTCGATTCATTGTATTATATAAAGCTGTGTGGTACATAGGGTATGTTTTTAGCAGAACTACAAAATTGCAGTGCTACTTTTGGCACTAAATGTTGTCCTCATCCATTCTTTTTGATGATTTGTGTTCACTTTGGGGTTATAATGTTAAACAAGGGAATCGGACAAGTTTCATAACACATTTGCTGTAACGTGATACTGTGAAGTAAACTTGCTGTTATTTATCTTTCTTTGTATTTTCTCTTGTTCCAGCATAAAGCCAAGGTAGAAGCAATGACCTTAGACCTCGCTTCTCTTCAGAGTGTGCAGCACTTTGCTGAAGCATTCAAATCCAAGAATATGTAAGTACTCAGAAAATTACATGTAATAATTTCATGTTATTTTAATGTCTTTATCAGCTGAGCACAGTTGGCAGAATTCACCATAGTTGGACTGATCAGCAACTACAGTTACTGAATAATCTTTTCACAGGATTTTTTTTTTTAACGTAAATTAAGCATAATTTGTTTTCATCTTAAAAAAATAATTACAGAACTCTTATTATATCATGTGTAGCTCCAGCTTTAAAGGGAGCACTGATACCCCTGTGGCTATTGAAAAAGGCCAAAGCTGAACTGCATAAAAAACAGCTCAGGCAACTTTAATCAGTTTTGCAGTGGTTTGGAAGAGGTCAGGGATGAGCAATTAGTGCACTCCTTGTCTTACTTTCTTTTCTAACCTCCTCTGACTTTCTTTTCACTTTAAAAGCATTAAAAAGAAAAAATAGTCCTATGAGCCAGATAACTTCATTTTCCAGACCTTTATCTGTAACAGTCCATAATTTGAAAACAAAGAGAAAGAAAATGGGGAAGAAGGGGTGATAATGGCATCACTTAACAACAGGCAAATTTGTATGGAGATAATCAGGTTAGCTTCCAAATGTTGGGTTTGTTGTTTGTTTTCTTTTTTTATTTAGCTTGAACAGAACTATGAATATGTAAACTGAAAAAAAATTATTTGACATCTTTAAGTGCCAACTCTTGCTGACAAATTCCACCACTTTGTGCTCTTATCCACAGTTTGACCCATTGTTGTGAATATCCATACTTAGCTTTTTTCTGCAAATATTTCTGTAACACATGTACATCTTACTGTACTTCTCAAGAGAATATGGCCTCTTAGACAGCTTTGAAAATATATTGTTTTAGGGAACATATAAAACAAAGAACGTTTTTTCACTTTTGAAACACTGCCAAAGCTAAATCTCACATGGATAGACAGATGACATTTTAGTACTTATAGGTCTTTTAGATTCAAAGAATTGTCAAAACTGACTTCTAACACAAGTTCCTTTCCTGCCAAAATCCTTGGTAACAATATTTTCTTACCCTACCTCATCTTCATATATTAAAAGTTTCTTGAAAGAAAAGGACAAATCCTTTCAGTATTGCTGCTTTAATGCTAACTTCATTTCATAATGTGAGAGTAAGTGTTTTAATTTAGCTTCTTCATGCTTTCAGTGTGCTACATTTCTTTAAAAGCTATATGGTACAGTGAAAAGTTGAACCCACCTTTTTCCAATGCATCTCTTAACTTGATTTCTGTGTTGCAGATCATATCATGGTCATCCTAGCTAGTCCATTTGCTATGCAAGTTTATAAACACTTAGCAGTGAACAAGCTTTAATCATTTTTTGCCAGAGAACTCAGAAAATTAGGAGATACAGAATCAGTAAAATCTCCTTTACTTTTGTTGGCATGCATTGTCTTTACCAGCACAGGTCTGTTAAGCTACATTGTCAGTGATGGACAGGTTTTACTAATGTTTCACTCTCATTTTATTTGGAAAAATTTTAGTAATAGACAGCATTTATAGCCTCTGCCTTGCCTTCTGATAGTCCTTTCTCAAATCTGTGTTCAGATGTACGTGTGTTTGGCGGAACTACTCCAAGCATTATAGGAAAGTCTAAGGTCTGTATCTGTTGTGGGGTTTTGATCAAAATAAATTTCTAGTTATATTTTGTTTAAAGTCTGAGGCTGGGAGGAAACCAGTCTCCACACTGTGCCTGTAGCAGTAGATATTTTATCTGATACAAATACAGAAGAGTTATCTTACAATCATCTGCACTGGCAGGAGAATGGAAGATCTAGCAGGTCTTTCTGGCTCTGATATTTTGTGATTTAACTATGTCTGGATACGGTCAGAAAAGCAATTATATGGCAGTAGCACCTTATCCCTACAGTGCCAGCCCTATTTATTTTCCAGCCCTTATGTACACTAATTACTTTTATCTCTTCATTTGTTTTGCCACAGTTTCCATATGCTTTTGTCAGATCAGCGATTCCTTTGCATTAGTAGCTTTATGAGCAATTGAAGGAAACCTTCAGTAACAGAATGAGTCTTGTTCATTATGCTTTGGCAAGTCTTTTACCTGGTAGCCCAATGTTCTTAAAAGGCTTTGGTAGCTCTCTTTTCGTGCACCTGTAGGAGGAGGTGTACTGTGACACACTCCCCTGCTCCCATGAGGTAGCTGTAAGTCCTGTCAATGAGCAGAGGAAATGTGTGCTGAGTATGGAGTTCTCTTACAAATTCTTTTACAACCACGTAGTTAGAAAAGCAAATAAAGTGTTTGGTTATTTTTCTAAACAAAATTATCATTTGAGTTGTGAGTTTTATAGATCTTGGTTTCTGAGAAAAAAATAAAATCATTTTAAAGTCTGAAGGAGAAACTTTACATGAACACACACATTCTGATAAAGATCTGTGTTTTTATTTCTCACAACACAATTATGTGAAGAGGTCCTTAGTATTCCGTGGTGAACAACTTAAACTTCTGGGTGCAAATAGTTTTACTGACTAGTTTCTCCAGTCTACTATTGCTTTCTCCAACACTTTAGTATTCTACAGAGTCTGTTGGTCCTGGTGACATCTGATGTTATAACTGAGAATTTAGAAAATAATGAATAGGTTTGCTTGTCTTTTGAAATTCTGCTTCTCGAAGTCACTCCGTGGCTCTAGGTAATCTTTTTTTGTCAGCAGATAGAAGAATGTAGTCAAAGTCACAACACAACCTTCAGAGAATCCATTTCCTTCATAGACTGGGCTAGAAGGGACTTCCAGAGGTCATCTAGTCCAACCCCCCTGCCATAAGCAGGAACATCTCTGACTACATCAAGCTACTCAGAGCTTCATCCAGCCTGATCTTGAATGTCCCTGTGGATGGGGCCTCTACCACCTGTCTGGTCAAACTATTCCAGTGGTCTGTCACCCTTATACTGGAGAACCTTTGTCCTAGTTGATAGCTATTGCAAAAGAGTCTTCAAGGACTGTGTTTCACAGATCTCTTCCTGGATCAGAAAACTAAAATGGAACTCCTCCAGAAAAAGGATCCCTACATTTCATGGAGTTAAAACATCAAAACCTATTGCAGCTGGGGAAGGTGGTGGTGGTGGTATTGCAGGGAGCAGAGGGAAAACTGCAGAGATTGTAGATCTCCTGTCTTAATCCAATAACTTGTAGAGAAAAAAAAACCCACCTTCTTCAATGTGCTTCAGAATCTGAGAGATTATAGAAAATATGTGAAGAATGAAGAAATGTCATTCTTTGCTCAGCAGGAATTTAACAGGGGCTGTTTGCATATAGAAAAAAAAATGATGCAACAGAAGGAGCATTGAGAAAAACATAAATAATAAATGGGAGTAAAGACTTATTATGAAAAGAAACATTTACTATAAACTGGAGTATTACTTAAGAGCTGAGAAGACTTCCTTGTTTGAAAGTAAAAAACAGATTATTCATTTTCAAGTTATAAAGCTTCTGAGATTTGACAAGAATCTTTTATTCCTGTTTGGATTTGTTAGGTGTTGCAGCTTTGTCCACAGATAACATTTGGGCTCATGATATATAAATACTGGTAAATTATGCCATATTCCTATAAATATATTCTAGAAAATCCTTCATCCTCACAGAAAAAATCTTTTTTGTTTGTTTCCATTATCTGTACTCTTGAGTTGATACATCTGTTTCTTTTTCCAAGACTGGTTTCTTTTATCCCTACAGTTGCAAATAAAGCTTTGGGGGAGAAGGGCTTTGCATCCTGAAGTTCTCTGATCACAGCAGAATATAAACCTTCCATATGAGCAGAACAGTGCTCTCCAGTTCTTCCTGCTCACTCAGTTACAAAGATTCTGGGGTCAGAATAAGATAAACTTAATAACTTAATTGGATCTCCCACAGTTGTCTTTGGAAGAAGACAGAATAAAACCATATTGCTGTTTAATGTTTGATCTACCTCTTACTTCAGTGTAGCACAACCTGACTAATAGATGTGCACATGTAGTACAGTGGGACTAATACATAAAGTGGAAGTCTAACCTGGTAAAAGATAGAGTTGAAGGATTTAGAGAAAGCCAGCTCGTTATATTACAGTAATGGAGCCTGATTTTAGGCTGTCCTGCAGGTTGAAGTGCAATGCTGTTATTTTCTGTGATGTTTTTTGTTGTTTAGTTATTTTTTAAGCTGTTTTTTCTGGCTATCTTTTAGTATTCCTGGCTTCTTTTCTGGAGATACATTTCCACACTGGATATTTCTGCCAGGAGTGAATGACTCCACCTTCCTCCTGTGTGAAGACAGTGCTAGGGTTAGGACGGAGGAGGAGGAGATGTCTCAGTGCACCCAGACGGCTAGATTTGCTCAAGTTGCTTCTTTTGTCTGTATCTAGTCTTTCTCCTCTGCTGGTTTCCGGCTCAGGCAGTCGATTGAATGTCTCTGTTATGGAAAATCAAATAAATGATCTGTTTATAATAATGTTCTTGGCTAAGATGGATTTGGCATTAGCCGATTTTTGTGAAGTTGGAGGAGGCAGACCAACTAATCTTTCATATTAGGCTTTTGGAACTAAAAAGCACTGAATTGAATCTCTTCACTGAGTGGGCATGATGTGAGGAATTATGGTTGGTATTAATCCACTTTATAGACAAAATGACTGTCCTCCTGTGATTGTATGAACACAGCATTTAAATTTAGTCAGTGTCAGTGTTTGGTAGTTCAGGGTCTATAGGATTTGGTATTTGTGTGGGTATTTTGTGGATGTGATACTTTGGTACCTATTTCTCTGTTTAATCATCATATATTTGTCTAAAACCTACATACTTTACTTAGAGGACAGCACTATGTTTCAGTTCTAAAATTTCCAAAATAGCTACTTGTCAATATTTGCAATCATGGTATTGCACCATTTGCCTGATCCTCAGCATAAGAACACTTCCATGATCACAACAGTTCGCAGGCAGAAGTGAGCAGTAAAGTTACAGATGAAATTTTATGTGCATCTTTAGTTTTGAGTGGTGCGTAGTGCCACTTG